TATGCAGATGGATTGTCAAGTCACGTGACTTGGTACACAGTATTTGCTTTACTCTGTTTTTTCATTCTAGTGACAACTCATACCTTGTTCGTATATGTGAGATTGTCATGCAGAGGCATCTTTCTAAAGCCGTTCATAACCAACTATATAAACAACTAAAGGAGAAGACACAACCTTACAACTCATTTCGCCCTACGAAATTATCATTCATTTGTTTTAAAAAATTAGCATGGCTACATGGTTCATTGGAGGGAGTGGGAATCGCAGAGGTGGTAGGAACTTGCAAAGGGGTGACAGTTCACAACGAGGAAGGGGAAGACGAAGTGGCGATGCTGAAGATGAAACACCATTTCCTTTGTTAGATGCCTCTTGTGCTTATCATGATAGGTTTGGGAAGCGACATTTTGTCATGCCCAAGTACTATTGAGATCCATGTGGTTTGGTGGAGAATCCATCAGATAATCAAACAGGATATGATTTAGCAAACGCTAGACGTCTGAAGTGGCCCGCACTATTTATAGAGCGAGTCCAAATGGAAAGATTATGTCGGGAAAATCGATTGAAGGTGCCAAAAGCACGTTCTGTTGAGATCCAAAAGGAAGATCCTGATAATGTTGATCGACTATGTGAAAGACTACAACGTGAGATTTCTCAAATGGGACGTAGGTTAGCCCGCGATATGCAGCTATACATAGTTAAGAAGGATGCCCAGAAGAACAAAACAGAACCAAATGATGCGGCTATCAAGAGTATCATGGAGGATCCTCAGCTTGTCTCTGACGCTGAGCTTTCGGATTGTTCGGACTCTGAGCCACCTACCGATTTAAGCGCGAATTAGGTGTTAATGTCTACACTTCGCCAATATTAGGTCATGCATTAATATGTAATGTCTGTGTTAGAGTAAGTGTTTCCGTAATGAGTTTGTCAGATTGTCAGGCTAATATTTGTCTGTCTAACTGTTATGTTTATCTATGTATTGTGTGTTCAGTTCATGGTGTCCACAATGTATTGTTGTCCGAGACTTATGTCTGTACTACTTATGTATTTTCGTGGGAGACTTATGTGTTTTTTCCTCAAGGTTTTATGAATTAAATTATCACCTTCTAACCCAAAACAAAGACAACAGAAAAAATAAATAAATAAATAAATAAATAAATAAATAAATAATTATTTAAATGAAAACGGCTTTAGTAAAACCAAAACAAATTTCTGAATAACACATTCTAACCCAAAACAAAGACAAGAGAAAAAAATAAAAAATAAAAAAGTTTACATGAAAACGACTTTAGTAAAGCGAAAAGAAATTTATGAATTACATTATCACCTTCTAACCCAAAACAAAGACAACAGAAAAAAATATATATGTATATTATTTACATGAAAACGGCTTTAGTAAACCCAAAACAAATTTCTGAATAACACATTCTAACCCAAAACAAAGACAAGAGAAAAAAATAAAAAATAAAAAAAATTTATACGAAAATGGCTTTAGTAAAGCGAAAAGAAATTTATGAATTACATTATCACCTTCTAACCCAAAACAAAGACAAAAGAAAAAATATATATATTTAAATGAAAACGGCTTTATTAAAGCCCAAACAAATTACTGAATAACACCTTCTAGCCCAAAACAAAGAAAAAATAAAATAAAATAAAAAATTTACATCAAAACGGCTTTACTAAAGCTTAAAAAATTTATGAATTACATTATTACTTTCTAACCCAAAACAAACACAAGAAAAAACAAAATAAATTTACTTTAGTCAAACCAAAAAAATATGCTGAATTACACATTCTAACCCAAAATAAAGACAAGAAAAGAGAAAAAAAAATTAACATGAGAACGGTTTTAGTAAAACAATTTTAACTCAAAAAATTATTCTGAAATACATTATCACCAAAATAATGACAACAGAAACCAAAAAAAAATTCTTCTTACAGTTCAGTTAAATTGAAACTAAAAAAAAAAAATTACGCTAAAAGCGTGGTTCATAACAACAATTATAGGAGAAAAAAATTTTGGCAAAAAAACGTGGTTTGAAAGAGGGAGGTCAGAAGAAAATATTTTTTTCATAAAACGTCGTTTGGAACAGCGAATTCAGAAGAAAAATGATTTTTGTTAAACTCGTGGTTACAAAGAGCAAGTTCAGAATGGTCTCGTGGTTCTCAACAGTGAATTAAGAACAAAATGTTTTTGGATAAAATCGTTGTTTGTAACAGCGAGTTCAAAAGGAAAAAAAGTGAATTAAAATCGCGTTTTTTAACCGCGATTTGTTAATCGAAAGCGCTTTTTGTAACCACGAATTTAAGTTTTGCCCACTTCCACTCGGGGCAGGCGGAAAAATGTTGAAATCGCGATTGTGAACCGCGAGTTAGCTCATTTTGGGAATTTTTTGAAAACTAGGCTTAGTTTGGGAATTGATTTACTATTTTAGCTTATTTAGGAAAATGCCCCCAGGACAGGACACATAGTGATTTCAAAATATGGGGACACATACATGGCGAGGACACAACAATAAAATATTTTTTCATAAAGTCTTATTTGTTATGTAGATTAATATTACATCTACAAATAATCAAAATTAGTAAAAACTAATACTGATTCGATATTTGAAAAAAAAAAAAAATCACTATTAAATTAACAATGATCATTTATATTTTTTTTATGGATGATATATTAAGTATTTAAATCTAAGGAATAAACATCTAACATCTATCAAAAGCACTAAATGGGGGGAGACCTAATTGGCATATCCCTAAAGTGTCCCAGTCATGCCCCTTAAAAAAAATTAATCAAATAACGGAACACCCCATGTGGTGTGTCTCATACGTGTCCCCGTGTCCGACATGGCTACGACACTTATTTTTAAGTGTCGATGCTTCATAGATTCTCAATTTGACAACTATGGTGTTATGCAATTCTAGATTCGATTGTGGATCGGAAAAGAGAAGCTAGAAGTGACATATTTCACTATGCTAACATTGCAATAAATAAGGGATCAGACATAAATGACTACATGAAGATTGATAAGTGTCAAGTTTTTGGAAACATTTCTCTTTGCAAAGAGTTAAATGACTTGGAGGTAGGGGAGCTAACAGAGCTTCTCGAACATCTTTATGCCATTCCCAACACTGGTGAGGAACAGACACAATGCGATGGATGAGATCAAAATCAAGAAAATCTAAGGTGAAGCATTTTTAGGATGCTTTGGTGGATCAGATTCCGTGTCTTTTCTAAGGCAAAAGGTGTAGGGATCCAAGGCTAGTTCAAATGTAGTGTGTTTTGTATGGACAACATTGCATGGAAAGATCCTTACTATTGATATTTGATAATTTATTTCGAATATGGCAAATTTATGTCAACTGGTGTTGCATGAACAAGCAAAATCAATCAATCACTTCTTGATCCATTTTGTAATGTAATGAGAGAGTTGTGGTCCTCGATTCCATGCATGTTTGGCTTAGCGTGATTATTTCATTGTAAGGTGAAGGATCTACGTTGTTTTACAAGGGGAGCTAGAATGCAAAGCAAAAGGAAAGCAGCTTGATTTTTGGTACATTTAGCTTTGTTGTGGATTACTTGGAGAGAACATAATAGGATGACTTTCGATGAGGAGTAACCTATTTTCAAGTTGAAAAAATAAATTATTGTCCTCTTCAAAGTTTTTAAAAGCGAATGCATAACGTGAGGCTTTGCCTTGTTGAAAGTGAAATTGATATTATTGGCTTTAGTGATTGAGCTTCTCACTGAGCATTAATTTTGTGTTTTTTCTTGAATGGTCATTTACTTAATTTTTCCTATAGAATATGAATATAGTTGCAAAAGGGATTCTTTTTAATTTTTTACTTTTTTATGTTTAAACCACCTAGACTAAGTTTAACAAGAGCCTAAGACAAACTCTTCATATACGTACTCCTCACATGCTTATGCATAGAAGGCATACAAGACGCATCTAAGGCGCATGTCTCAGACTGTGTGTGCAAACCTTTGAGGAGTAAAGCCTAAAAATCAAAGCCTTGAGGCTGTTTGCTTTAGCCTCGCCTCGAGGTGAGCCTTAGTTTCCTTAAAACTTTGGTCCTTTCTGTATAATTGGTTCTTGGATATTGTTGATACATCTTTGAACCACTTTTTTGGATTTTGTATGTCTTTGGAGTAAAGGTGGTTGTATAAATGATATAAGTTTAGTACATTACCTTTTTGAATACAAGTTGCAACCCCTTGTGCCTCATTTATAATAACATTAGTTAATGAAAACTTTGTTAAAATTAAAATTTTAAATCACCTTTTGGTGACAAATCAAATTTGAACTTAAAATTCAAACCCCCTTTTAACATATTTTCAATTATAATGATCACTCTATTTCATGTTATCAAATCCACAAAATAAATAAATAAAAAATACTTCTTTTTTTTTTTTTTTGGATTTAGGGTATTTTTTATAACTAAATTTGTATTTAAAAAATGCCAAAAGGGTGTGCCATTTTACAAAAATAATTTTCATCAAAAAAGCTCAACACAAAAACTGATCTTTCCTATAACCTTTATAAGAGCAAAAGAAGACTCACAAAAAGTCAAAAGGATCTTCAAACCAAAACTGAAAACCATGGAATAAAGATATTTTAAGTTTTAGGACTCCCAAATTTGTTGTAAAAATACGCCTATTTCTTTCTTGCTACATATAATAAAAAATATTGAACCAATTTTAGTCCTTTGTTGTTTCATCACCACCTTTCAAGCCGAAAGAGGTGGGAAAAAGCATTGTGACACAACCCCCACCCATCCATCCAAAAAAGGGGGGGAATTTTACTATATCAAGCCCGTACAACAGTTAAGCACATGAAGATAAATATATATATTAAAGAAAGGAATGCAGCATTGAAAGGATCTCTTCAAAAGATAAAAAAATGTGAAAAGATGGCCAATCAAGTAAACTTTGCATCATGACCAATATTTTTCTTGCTAGTAAGTATCGTAAATAATGTAAACTATTCCAAACCTGCCTGAGTTAACGTTGTTGCATCTGCAATGACAAAAGGCACATTCACAACGCGAGCTAATGTTTTCGCAAGTAATGTCTTCCCTGTCCTTACAGTCAAGGTTAAACTATATGAGTCAGGCTGTCTTCCCTAAATCTGGGTCTCACCATAATATCATAAGTAATGAGAAATTAGAATCTACTTTGCAAAGAATATATTAAATTTGCACTACAAACAACAAAAGTAGTATGAATTAAAAAATAATGATCATACCTGAGCCAGTTGGACCCATGAGTAACACATTGCTCTTCTCTAGTTCAACAGAATTGCTATCATCTTCAACTTCACCTTTATCTGACACTACACCTGACCTGGCATTGAACAAATATGTTAATCACTTGTGAATTCTTTAACATTAGCAAGGGAATAGAAATGAACTCTATCGGTATGAATGAACCACAAAACAAACACGCAGGGACACATTTGTGAAATTACTCTTTCCTTTTCTTTTCTTTTCTTTTTTTTTATTTTTCTTTTTTTAATATATATCAGTTGTTCTCAATTCGAAAATAGTATCAAGTATATTTACTCTGCATTTTCAATTTTGTGTCTTATAATCATAATTGTCAAATCGGGATTCGAATCGTGAATCGAAATGGCCTCGTACCGAATCGTGAATCGTAAACGTTCGGTCACTCTTCCTAAATTACTTAGAAAATATAACTACACAATTAGATGTTAAATATATCTTATGAATATAAAATATTTAGACTTAAATCGATGAAAATATTATTTTGAATGATGATCACGTAGTTTAATAGGTAAGAAGTTAACAAAGGTTCCTATGTAAAATCGCCATCTTACCTTTGAAGCTTGGGTAACCAGCTTGGGGTATGATAGAATATCACCCCCTATTTATAAATGAAGATTAGGGTTTACAAGAAAGGCAATTACAAGATGATCCCTGAGGACATAAAATGATTACAGATCCTAGTGTAACTTTCGGCTAATATAATATGTTAACACTTTCGGCTAATATAATACGCTAACACTCCCCCTCAAGCTGGTGCGAAGATATCTCTCATGCCCAGCTTGCCTAATATGTCATGAAATGGTTTATTCTCAATCCCCTTGGTGAGAATGTCAGCAAGTTGTTCACCAGACTGGACAAATGGAATACAAATGATACCACTAGTGAGTTTCTCCTTAATGAAGTGGCGATCAATCTCAACATGTTTTGTCCTGTCATGTTGAACTGGATTGTGAGCGATGTTGATGGCGGCCTTATTATCACAGTATAACCGCATGGAGTCCGTCTGATCAATACCTAGATAATCACGCAACAATAATTTGATCATAAAAGTTTCACACACACACCTTGTTCCATAGCTAAACTTCAGCTTCTGCACTTGACCTGGCACCACATTCTGTTTCTTAGCTCCCAAGTAACTAGGTTTGCGCAACAAATGTCAATACCCTGAAGTTGATCTCCTATCATTACTGACCAGCCAGTCAGCATCTGTAATAGGCTCTACACGAAGATGATCATACTTTGAAAAATCAGACCCACAGGAGCCAGACTTCAAATTACTCAAGATTCTCATACAGCCTCAGTGATCTGACGAGAGCATGCATAAACTGACTACCTATACTCGACAGCAACAGCATATCACGACGGGAAGTGAGATAGGTAAATGACTAACAACTAATCGTGATAGCTTCCCCTACCCACAGACTTCTCCTCCTTCATCATCCCCCAATTTTTCTGATTGAGTTCCAGGGGTGGCAATGCCTTGCAGCAAGCACCAGTTTCTCAAAGGTCAAGCACATATCTTTCTCTGTGAGATAAATATCCATCCTAGCAGCGAGCACTT